TAGGCTTTATCTTCAGGCTTAGCAGTGTGAATGAGGCAGGCATAGGTGCCTATTATGTGTTGAAGCTCTTAGAAGAGTAAGCCTAATTAAAGAATTTTACTTTTCTTTGAGGCTTCAACCCACCCCATTCATATATCCATCGACTCCTTATCTGTAGGTTTCCTACGCACAATTGATTTTATCCGAAAAAATAATTTCCGACAAATTATTTTACGTGCAAAATCGCTATTGATATTTTTTTCACTAACAAAAAGGCTCCGAAAAACTACTCAAAGTGAGTACTTGAAATTTTTTCATTAACATAGTCGTCGCTCTCAATAAATAATCTAGAACCTCTATATACCATATCTATATGCCTAATTAGGCTCACCGGGTACACTTTGATTATATTATAGGCCTCTATACAGCCTAAAAGAAGGTCACCGGGAGCTATTATAGGCTCTCAATCCCTATAAGTAAGTCTTAAAAAAGAATGAATTCTTTTAAAAATCGATTATGCTTATTTAACGAGGGCTTTTAAACGCGCTAGCTCTTGTAATCTAAGAGTCACTTTCTTTTATAGTCTTAAATATACTCTTATAATGATTTTACTATTTTCATTATAAACAGAATAAAAAGACAACCTCAGCAATATATAATTCATATAGATAATATATATAATATTAATAAAATTAAAATTTTCTTACTTTTATTATTATCCTATATAAAAAGATTTCCGATAAATTGTTTATCCCCGGTTAGCTTTTATACTAGTAATCTCATCACTATAATTCATAATCTTAAAGCCTAAAAGAGCTCACCAGGACTTATTTATAAGCTATTAACTCTAAAGTTAAGCCTATAAAAGGCTCACCGGGAGTTGAATTAGAACTCAAAGCCTATAAGAGCTTATTGTCTATGTAAAGAGAGTTTTCAAAATTCATTTGATTAAGTCCCGATGAGGTTAAATATATCTTAGTGGTATTTATCATCGCTCCTAACCTAATCCCCTATAGGAGAGCCTAACCCTGACCCTAACCAGATTATTTAGAACTTCTCTTTTAGGGCTTAGAGCTGATCATTAGGGCTTCTATAGCCTATGCTCACAGGGCTTGTATACTAAAGCTAATAAAGCCTCACCGGGAGCTCACCGGGAACCTTAATAATACATTAAAATAACTTCACCGGGAATCGAGATTTAATCCTATTGAATTCACCGGGAGGATACTTATAGGCTTTCATACCCTATAAACTACTCACCGGGAGCAATCTTCCGAAGATTCCACCGTATTCCCTCCTGAAAATTCTGAAAATTTCGAAGAGAGAAAAAAAATCAAAAAAAAATAAAGAAAAAGAAAAAATTCCGCTCAAGGCGACGCCCCCCCGCCCGTATCGAGAGCGGGGGTCACCGGGAGTAATGCTCGGAGCTGTTTTCAAGGACGGTAGCGCTTCCGCCCCGCTCTGCCGACCCCCAGCTTCATGACCCCCTTTTTCCCATGACCCCCATATACCTACTCCCTCAACCCAATTGTCAGCCCCTCGTTCTTATCCCTCAGTCCCTCCCTCAGTCCCTCCCTCAGTCCCTCCCTTAGTTCCTCTCTTACTCTCTCATCAACTAAATTTCATTATACTCTATACTACATCTGTTTTCAGCACTCTGCTTATCGCAATCCTTGCTCTTCATATTTACTAGTTAAATTCCAGGGAGATTATAAATAGCTTCACTAATATATATATTTGTATCTCTCGACTTTATTATTCTGAATTCAGTTATCTCCTTTACTTGCTAATATTACAGAACGCCCTTTACATTTGTAAAACAACATATAAATATTAATAATCTTATATTATAGTGTACTCATACGTATTCTACTACTTATGTCTCAGAATTGCTACTACTTCTCATATACTCACCGACACCTTCTCTATAGAAATTACAGATATAATCGATTCTTCAGGTTTTTTATTTTTCCGATAAATCTTTACTTATCATTTTGCTACAGGTCGTGTCACGGTAGTCGGTCACGGTGCATTAACTAAGGGGGAATAAATCATACTTTGTCACGGTGGTCACAGTGATTCATCACACTACCGTGACTTACAGTACGATCGTCGAGGGGCTGTCACGGTGGTCTGTCACGCTGACACTTGTATGAAATAACGAACTTTCTGTCACGGTGCAGTGTGCTATGGAGTCTTGTCTTGTGTGGTTGTGATTTCCCATATCGAGTCAAAGGATATTTCCTTATGAATAATGGTTCGTGAAATGCTATCGTTATATTCTGACTGTATCTTTTGTGGGATATTATACATCGTTTTAGGAGTGAATAATTGAGAACGGCAGCAGCTCTCTAATATGTCACATAGACAATTTCGCTGGCAGTCGTTGCTACACACTCATTAACACGATTCCACTTAACAACCATCGTATGCTTCAACGATATATCCAAAGCTTTCACGGTGGTTCAGGGTTGCAGTGAGCCTTGTCTAACTACTAAATCTGCGCGAGAATCTGATGTAGTGTTATTTACGTAGTCACGCTATATGTCAGTGTTGCTACAGTTTTACTACAGATAAGCCTGGCCACTCTCTTCATCTCAATACGTTCACGAGTAATTCTTCATATTTGTCTCGAACTCCCTTCCACAGCGAAGTTCAAGTATCGTTTCTCATGGTCTACTCCTACAATCTGGAATGTATCGTCACTTTATCTGTCACGCATGAGAGCTTAGAATAATTATCAATGACTGATGTTTACATCAACAATATCGTTGAATTTTTACCTCCCTAACATCGACCTACACAAGGCGATCGATCCTCCAATTTCATTTAATAATAATTAGATCTGACAAATTTCCACGTTGGACCTTGGTTATAACATCCCTACCTGCCAACAAGCATGCCTGCACTCAACACCTTCTTCACTTTTATCGTTATCAGATATATCCAAGAGAATGCCAGTCTATGCGTTGATACTGAAAGTGATGAGAGTCGTATATCTCAATTGTGACAGGCACAAATTTTTCTGCTATGATGCCTCTCTCTACGCGGACCTGGGACGACGCGAAATCCTAATACTCGATTACACCTCCCTCGGGCTTCCCTCGTCTACTAGCTGCGAGCATCACAGCTTCAATGTTGACTGACCGCGTTTTCCCAAGTCGAATTATGCGGGGTCGGTAATTCGGAAGAATGGGGAAGCCGCTGAGGGCAGGGTATCGGACCTGACTGGCAGAGGAACTTGTTTGTTTAGCAAATAATCTCTGAATCCGCAGGAGTGTAATTCATACATTGAGTCTAAATTGTAATGGTTAGCTGACTGCGAAGAATGATCGTGCTGATATCCATGGAAGGGAAATATGCGTAAGCTACAAGCGTTGTTGCTCATATATTGACAAGCTCAGCCAAAAGTATCACTAGAAATGATAACCATACCATTCAAGCCTTAAACTTTCGAAATCTACGTGTCGGTGCAAACAAAGTCTTAATGCGGAGACGAAGCGTCAAATGCTATTATCCCAATCACCATCGCGACTTCCCCGACCCCGACCACATCATCTAGACGCCTAGCCCCGAATATAGAAATGCGAATGATCGTCTCATGTATTGAGAGTACGCAATGATCGATAATTATGTTGAATGTTTATGGAAAGCCGATTGCATTTGCACGCGGTTTTACCACACGCGTCGAATTGTTTCCTTCCGACGATTCGACGCGGAAATTCATGTGCCGCTATTGGAAAGCATTGAATGCATCATATGAAAAGTGCCAAAATGATGCAGCAAGATTCGGGCACAGTTTAAAGGACGTCGATTAGTCTATGTTGTGGTGATCATAATGGCCACGGTGGGTAGAGGTGATTGTTGCAACTGAAGTGCGGGGTAATCATGGCGGGGTAATTGCTACAATTGGAAATGACTCCAATCTCATCTTGTGGGTTATTGTAATCGAATTTCATGGCGGCCATGTTATTGGCGTAACACTAAGCGATAGAATAACTTCAAACATCACATACATCCTGCTCTCATGTCTCATGTCTCACATATTACGTACATAGAATCTCTCGGAAATGAAGTGAGATCAACCCCTTGCAGCGTAATATTGCCCCTTTGTACGAAAGGAGTAGATGGAATGCGACCTTACTTCAACCTTGAATTCCTACATATGTGACATTCCTGTACACCTGACAAAGTTTGTTCAGCACAGCTCATGTTTTAAAATATCATCCAACATAAGAAAGGACAACCCATCTGAACAAAGTATCAGGATTTGATCCAGAATTTACACTTTGTTGATATCTCGCCAAGGTATGTAGTCATGATTGGAGAGTCTCAAGAGATCTTCAGATGTTACGTGAGTAAGGTTACCTACATGGGTGAAGCGAAAATTTGTGTGTATTGCCTAAGTTGACTCTCAAACCTTTTCACAGCATCCGGAGGCTAGCATCAAACTCTGGTTCAAGCCGAAATCAATTTCTTGTTCTCCCGAAACTCATGTATGAGACTATCGACGTGCGTCTCTGATAAATGATAATGGTCGTCCAGAGATGATCAGTCCAAAGCAATATGGGGCTGTTTGAATCTGCTTATTCTTGAGAGGAATATCTTCGGGAAAGTAAGGGTATACATGGTATACCTTAAGAAGCTTTTATCCACCTGTACTCATAAAAGTGAGAACGAGAGTCGCGCGGTGATTTCAAAGTGTTCCATCCCTCCACGGATATGTCGAGACTCATTTCCCGCTTCTTTCATGTTGATAACCATCGCAAGTCTCGTCAAAGAAAACTCGATCGAATGATACACCAAAAAGTACCCTTGATATAAGTTAAACCACCAATACTGAACAAACGTAGTTCACCGCTCTGCCAATTCCAAATTTCGGTTGGGGCTGTACTGAGAGTCACAATCTTTCCACCAACCTCGTCATATCCTTGAGTCTCACACACGTCTTCATTCTTGATACGATCCATCATTCTTTGAATCATCTAATACCTTTCTCCCCTCGAAAAGACCCCTCTAAATCATTCCGTAAAGCTCAATGCAAGATTTACGTTATACCATCTTATAGGAAGCTGGTAATCTTTGATGTTTTGGTATCCCCATTGATCATACAGAACTACTATTCCAACAGCAGCATATGCAATGGAAGTCGTGCCAATTAAGAAATCGGATATGGAACGGCTCACAACCTTTATCAAGGTATCACCATGATTCGCAGATATAATCTGAGAATTCTCACTGGGGCCGAATGACTACACATACGTGAAGAAATTTGTTCGCTCGGATTTCCCAGTCCTTTAAGCAGCAGCTATTTTGGTGACTCCTCCCTTCTCGTAATTGGTTTCCATCCAGATAATCTATGCAGGCAATTTTCTCGTGTGAAGCTGCTTGTTGACGGTACTGATGGAATCGGTGTTCAGATGCAGAATTCAAGATGACCCCGAATTTGGGATCAAATTTTTTGAAGACAAGGTCTTTCTCGCGAACTGCCATCTCCAACTCAGTGACTCTTTTGCCGGTTAGTCATATGAACGTTACGGACTTCTGGTTTCGCGCGTTTCGAAATCGGCAAAGACTTAGGGGCCAACTTCTCGCTTCAGAACTTTGTTTGGACGGTTCTTCTGAAGATCGATGTTTACTATTCGGGAAGGGGCAGTGCTTGTGCAAGAGAATTCAAAAATGTTGATACAAACACGTGAAAGATACGATATTCTTGGGTGCTTAAATCTCATTCCTCAATGTCTTGTAAGTAAACTAGAAATGTGGCTCTTTTTAAGCCCCTACATGTATAAGTATCTGCCAGTCACTCATTGCAAACATGTCTATCATAACGGGAGTAGTCAAGCAAGGCCAGGTCAATGCATTTCTTCATCTCAACATCAGACTGGAGGACAAGTGGTAGATAGAAGAAGGGATACGACCGAGAGACTAAGTTTCTCATCTAGCCTTCAACTCTGTACATGGCACTTTTTCCTGTTCGATGGGTGCCTCGCCAAATGCATCTCGTACTGGAAATTCCGAATAAACATAACCGCGAGATCGTGTTCACCCTACTTTCCAACTAAATTATGAGCTGCTTCTTAATAACTGAATCATTTTATTCCCTGATTATATTACATTCTCAGGGGTTATATCCTCATGATTGTCTGTCTTTCGGAGGCACTGAGCAGTAACGAGTTGCTTGGAAGCAATCTAGTAGCAAAAAAAATGCAGACCCAGGATCTCGCATACAAATCCCAGATGACTAACTGCCTGATCTGACAATCAATAAAGTGACTTCTGAAATCCAATTAAGACTCTCTCAATTTATCCCTTCTTTTGAGTGCACGACTTTGGCGGCAGAGTAATTCTCTCAGTAAGAATCTTTAATGAAGTGGATTTGTTTTCGTTGCAGACTTTGTCATGTCAGGGTCGAGAACAAGATTTACTCACACACCATCGATTTTGGTAATATCCCACTTTTAGAAAAGCAGAGATCAATCTCAAGATGAGAAATAAAACTTTTCAGCCAACTATCTAGGTGGATTGAGTTTAATCAACATCAGAACCCAATTTGACGAACGAAAGGGAGTGCTTACCCTGAGCCCTACGCTTACAATGTCACCGCGGATAACCCCACATCGAGCGCCCTCCCTCTAATGAAGATGACTTCTCGAAAGCAAAACACCCTACCCTGCAGTGTCTCGCAACAATGAGCAATTTAACAGAGTCTAAATGGATGTTAGGATTATTGAATCTTCGACTCAAAACAAATCGCGTGAGAACATAATTTACGGTCATGAATGCATGCACAGTGTGGCGATATCAATTGGACGGAGAACCATTCGAGATTAATATTATTTAACCACGTTAAATCCATGTTTCTCTTACCATTAGTCAATACACCCATTCATTGGTACACATTATATATACACATTGCAGGCCATTAAAATCATAACAAAACTGTACAACACTTCCGCGGAGACATCTCACCAAGACTACAGCACTCCCTGCCTGATCCAAGTCTGGTAAATTTTTATCCCACACTAAAGTAGAAAGAAACCAATCGGCATAAGTCTATTCCCAGCGCTCTTTGATGTCGTCGCACTAGCAGCACTACCAGTCATTGTACCAGTTCCAGTTCCCGCGTCACTAGTCGAACCAATTTTCGTTCCAAAAGTTCCCTCTTCACTTTGAGGGAATGCAGTTGCGGATGGTGTAGAATAAGTCCCCTTAACACCACCACCCGAGCATTTATCCGGTACTCCTTTAGCAATAGCAGATGCAGCTTCCCAACTAGGACCAAAATTTCCCTCTCTGGCTCGTTGCATAGTGAGGAAAGAGGCATAAGACCATGTAAGATCGACTGCACTTAAAGCGGTACCATTTTCGCGAGAAAACTGTTCGGCTAGTGCTCCGTCTTCTGGTGTATATGTTTCGGCGATCGATACAAAACCGTCTGCATAGTCTTGCATGGCTTTGATTATATCCTTAAATTGACTCGAATCACTTGCGAATGTACCTGTTTGTATTCCGGGGACTAAGTCTGTAAAAAAGTCATGGCTAATGTCGGTTACGGTAATGCTTTCTGTGCTGTTATATGTCCATAGAGCATCATAAAGTTGTTCTGCTGCAGCGTATGTGCATATATACCATGGATTTCCTCCTTGGTAAACATCCTCGGCATAACGTCCGATAGCTGCAGCTTGTCCTGCTGATGCATTTGAATTGACAGTATAGATAGAGCGGAAAGAGTCGACCAATACTTTATGGTTTGCAAGAGCGCGGTCTGAACAAGGCTGGAAAGTTGTAGAATCACACCCCACAGCCTGATCAGGATCAAAAGTATGTATCGAAGTCAATATTGAATTACAATCCAGTCCGGAACGATCATAAGTTGTTGATTGTACTTGGATGTTTGAATCGATGCTAGTTCCGTTCCAATAATCCTGTAGCATGCAAAGGATCTCGGGGGCTTGCTCCTCGCAGTCGTTACATGATTCTCCGAGGGCGGTGGCGAATTTTGCTCCTTCTACCAATGCTCGATGTTGAACCGCGGTGGTGAAAAAGGATGATCCATTGACTTCTTCCCATAAATCAAAACCGGATAAGTTCCAATACTGAGAAACATATGCCAAGTCGTTCCGAACAATTGGCCAGATAATATCCTTGACAGTATCATTTTGCCCCAAGGTAAGGCGATCGTTACCAAATGAAATCAAAGCTATGGCACGTAGAGCAGGCCCATCACGTTGAGGGCGTCCCCATTCACCTAGAAATGCAGTTTCATTGGTGTAATATTTTGGTTCTGCCAAACCTGCTCCAGTCGCTAAGTCTCCAGATGGATTCTCGACGGTTTGTAATTTTGCTTGAGCAGTAACATAGTCTTCAATAAGGGTCTGGAGGCTTGAATTGCCAGTATCAATAAGATATTTGAAAGTCAAAGCCGAATCACGCGTCCAAGTGTAAAAGTCTAATCGAGATTGGTGTCAGTGTTACCTCCCGAACTTAGGGTGTCGGTTGACTCACAATTAGGATCAACTGTACTTGGGCTTGCAACAACAATTCCGGCACTCGCACCCTGAGCCTTAGAACCATCGGGACCGATATTATTCAAGATTCCCTGAAGGGAAATCGGACTTTGAGCCGTCAAGTAATTATCAATTGTACCCGTCGTACGCGTAGATAATTTATGATGTTCAAGGCTTTTGGCCGAAGACAAAACCCCAGCCACAAATCTATTCAAACATCAGCACATTTCCAACGTATCAGGGATCAAATGATACGACTCACGCAGTAGTTCGTTCCCACAACATGGTTGTAGAGCAGATAGAATATTTGGAATTTAGGGATCGTAAGCAAGTTGTGGATATTGAATTCTGAAGGATGAGGATTGATTAAAAGCGCGCAACGATTGCCCGCGTGAGCCAATGAGATTCGGGAAAGAAGTTTCGAGTCCACAATTGCCGCTAATGTTATGATTAGATGCTGTGGTCGGCGATATTCGATACAACAAGAGAAGGAGTCAACAATAGAAATGAATGTATGGTGAGAGGGAGTACTTGTAATCCTTCACCGCAAAACATGCAATTGAGTTTGTATGCCAGAAGGAAAGGCTAATTATCATTTATTCACGTTGTCATTATTGAAATTATTTAAAATGAAACAAAAGCCTAAATCTGGTGAAATTTGTTGATCTATCCACAAATTAGTCCCATAATGTGACTCCAGATTACCAGATCGACCCCCTGATGCATGCTTTAGCCTGATCACGATTAGTGTTGTACTGAGGCCGATAACGCGCATTTGAACAATACACCAAAAATAGATTTCTGCCTAATGAAAAAAGAAATTTTAGAATCTGTATGGTGTGTTTATAGAAATTCTATAAAGAGAGATAGAATTCAATTTTATTAGAGACTTTTTGAAAAGAAAATTATATCATTGAATAGCCCTTAGGGCTAGCTTTATTTATCTGATTTTAGAATTCATTTTTCAATTTTCTATAAGAAGTGTACTAATATTTAAAATCTAATTTCAAAAAATTTTCTTTATAGTGCATGGACCACTCCAGAATAAGCGAGATAAGTTTAGTAAGAATTCCTTATCTCAATCTTATCTCGCTTAAATGATATGACTAATATAGCTTTAGTTAGATTCTATAATATTAAAAAAAAACATTTAATTCAGTACACAACCCTAAAGGAGCTTATGAAATAAAAAAGAAAGTGGTACAATTATCGATTAGAGTTCAAGGAATCGATTTATATAATTACTTTCAAATTATTTCAAAAATTGAAATTTATATTCAATATAATATAATTTTAATCAATGAATCCATTGGCTATGGATACCTCAAATATTAGGGTTGATGACTCATCAGACCTCTGATGGGCTGATGACTAATCAAACCTTGAATGATATCATCAATATTAGAAAATACATTCAATTCAGTACATAACCTTAAGGGAATTGATGAAGTGAAAAGAAAAGAATTACAATTATTAATTAGAATTTTAGGAATCGATTGATATATTTCTTTTTGAATTATACCAAAAATTGAAATTTATATTTAATTTAAAAGTATTTAAAGAATAAAAGATTCAATTCTGAAAGTTGATTATTATTCAAATTTATTAGAATACTTTTAAATTGAATAAAAATTTCAATTTTTGAGATAATTCAAAAAGAAATATATCAATCGATTTCTTATATTCTAATTAATAATTATGCTTCTTTTCTTTTCATTTTATTAGTTCCTTTAAGGTTTTGTACTGAATTGAATACTTTTTCTGTATAAAAGCACACTACTAAATTCTAAATACGGTTTTAGCTTAAGCGAAAATCTATTTTTGGTGTATTGTTCAAATGCGCGTTATCGGCCTCAGTAGTTGATACAACAACGTGATCTCGGAAATTACTCTGGCACTACTTTATTGAAATCAGTAAGAAGATGTAAATCATCACTTATCTCCTCCCTCTCGTCGACTTCTGGTACCGGTGAAGATTTTCTGAGATCGATAGAACAAGACATAGGTATGGTAAGAAACTTCAAGGAAACAATTCTTCCCTTATGTGCCAATCACGCCACTCCAATATCCCAGGGGGCATTGAAACCACTTAGCGAATACTGGGGCCGTGGGAACCCGAGTACTACGCTACATGTTTATTTCCCGCGCTTCCAACTGAAGGAAGCCTCCACAACTTTCCCCACGGCTCGTGGCACCACTTACCTTATCGACCTCGGGAGTTTTTGTGGATTGCGAAATATATCTGACCGGTCAAGCTCTTGAACGTTTGAGTCAATTTTCGGATTACACTCCACGGGGTGCCCGCATTATTATCCGGTATCATTTGGCGGTCACAAAAAGAAGGATCATTCATTCTTTATCGTAGCTTTTCAATAAGGTTATGCCGCTTGCCCGTGTTCTGGAATCCTTCAACTATATCTTGTACTTGGCACGTCATTAAAGTGTTGATGCGGTATCGCCGTTGCATAAATCATACATAAGGTTACTTTGTGGCACAGAAGTTAGAATTGGTTCTGGGTGAAGGGGCACGTTTTATTTTGGTGTGGGTGGTATTCATGTCATGCTAGTTCACATAACGTGCTATTTATAAGGTCGTAATGCAGGAATTGACATAATCGAGTTAAATCTCCTTGCGACTAATAAGACTGCAAGGGGCTGATAAAGATCCTAGAAAAATCCAATCGTATATGCAAATTCAATCTTAGCTTGACTTCTAATAATCAAAACTTATTTACTCGTACGTTCGTCGCAAATTCCATTCCTTCCCTCTAGTAATCTCACCAAGTGAATCCAGGAATCTCTCTTTTTTCAAGCTTCATCCAGATATCATCCCAATAAAACATAGCGCCAACCAGAATACGTTTTGGGGATGGAGTTTCTTTGCTTGGGAGGCACAGTCGTGGATTGAATGCTCGGAAAAACTGTTTTTTGTTAGTAATGACCCAGACAGGTAACTAACGCGTCAGGAGTCAGGATTACTTACCATCAAAGGAGTCTTCATTAATTCAATCATTGCAAGATCCTTACCCAAACAACTTCGAGTACCATACCCGAAAGTAGCAAGATATTTATCAAATACTTTACCAGCTTCTCCATTGTTTTCCAACCATCTTTCTGGTCTGAATTCATCCGCATCTTTTCCATAAACTACCGGATCACGGTTCGCCATGTAAGCAGTGCTGGTAACTTCAGTTCCAACTGGAATGGTTTTTCCATCGATTACAAGTGGAGCATGGTCAGCTTGGACAAGACGAGGGAAGATGTTAGGAGCCGAAGGACACAAACGCAAGGATTCTTTGACACAAGCAACGTAGTATGGACAGTTCTTGGAAACTTCTGCCGCGGCTGGGACTGGGGTAGATAATACACCACTGTCGAAAGCGGCGTCAATCTCAGCCACCATTTTAGCGTAAACTGTAGGATTGGAAAGAAGGTAGGCCATCATCGCTCCCATGGTTGTTCCGGTAGTATCGGCACCGGCTGTGAATAACAACATACATTCGGCTCGGATGTGATCTTCGGTGAGTGGCTGACCTTGGGCATCGCGAGCCTCATAGAATCTGATTTGTTAGCCTGCTCTAAGACAAACAAGAGAGGGTTGTCATACGATTGTAGCAAGTCAACTCGGCCTTTATCTTTTCCTCCCTCAGCAAGTTCCTGTTGTCTAGCTTTCATGATTCTGTTCGTCCATCTGATTAAGAATCCCATTCCTCCCTTATCCTTTTCACTGGAGACAAGGAATCGTCCAAGCCAAGTCTTCTTGATGAACTCAACGAAAGGATACATTCTACCAACAATACCAAAGTAAAAGAATCCTTTATGGAGTTCTTCAATCAAATCATCAACGTCAGTAGCAGTATCCACAAACCCAAAAGCTTCTCCGAATCCAACCAAGCTGATGACGTCGAATGCGGCAAAAGTTGCCCATCTCGACATATCAAAAGCTTTGTTTTGTTGAGCAAACATATCATTCAATTTTCTGATCCAAGCAATGATAATGTCGTCAATGAGAGGTTCGTTCTTGACCATCTTAGACATCGAGTATGGTCCGGCGATTAATCGACGGAAGTGAGCATGGTGCGAATGTTGTTGCATATTGAAGACCGATTCTCCTGGACCAAGTGCACCAGTAACGTACCATTTTGTCTTAACAGCTTGACGATGGTAAATTTGAGGAAGGGAGAGAGCTGATGGGATCAACAGTTCGGTTGGTGATATTCGAAGAATGTTTGCTGTAAATGCATTAGAACTGAAATATTATATGATCGGGTCAAAAGTTGTACACACTATTTTTCTCCTTGAGTAGGCGGTCATAAGTTTCCAGTTCAATTCCCCTGATGTTCTGATATGTGTGCCAAAGTCTGGTTACTGATCCCCAAAAGGGACCATCAAAATCTTTGAGAGGATGGAAGTATCTGTAATAGACAATCTGGTATATGAATGGCACAAGAAAGGCAATGGCAAGACCACCAGCCAAGCTCGGACCCGTTAAGTATTGGCCGAATCTAGACACAGGTGTGTCCATTCCGACAATCTTCGTAGTTCCGTTTAGAGCATCCATTTTGGTTACTACCGGAGACAATAACAAATTGAGTGAAGTATAACACAAGAATACGCAACTGAATGGAGATATAGAATCTGTGTCCCTTTTGAAGACTTGAACACACATATATATGTATATGCTTACAGTCTGGGCCTTCATCAAAGTGAACTCGGCTCTTTTCCGCACACTGCTGACTATGCGTTTCAATTCTATTTCTCTTCCATGCCAACCTCATGCTAGCCGAAGCAAGATCTCCGGCCTCGCCAAACCCCACTTATATCTGACATCTCACCAAAATGCCAATAATTGCTGAACAAATAAACAGTAATTCTGACCAGAGGGGTTTGCGGAATTGTAAATTTCACTCGTATTATCCAGGCAGCTTCTTCCGCGGAGACTTCTTCGATTCTTCAACGGATGAACTGGTAAGAACCCCCGCAATCCCGTGCTCACGACTCCTTTGGAAACTTGGGGTAAGATTTCGTGACTTGTATCTCCGGATCAGTGACTCATCAGATCTCTGGGTTCATCCTGTTATTAATGCTGATTTAGAAACACTCAAGTTTTTATCGAATAAAATTTTAGAAATAGTGTATATCAATTGCATCTGAGACTGTGTGCTGATACAGTGCGGAGATATTTTAATACAATTCCGTGGAGAAGAACGTTGCGACATTCCAATTTTTTCTTTCTTTAATAGAGGAGTAGGAATTAAGCCCTATAGGGCTCTAAAAGGAAGTTTGCAGTCAATGTTTTAACCTTAAAACCTTAAACAGGTGTTACCAACTTAATTTTCCTTGGGCTGCATTCTGCCACGAGAAAACGTGAAAATCACGACTGAACCAAACTAACGGTGCTGATACAAGCATTTTAATCAATCTAAGACTGCAAGAAGACATGCACGTGTATCTTCGATTGGCATAGATCGTCTCGTAACACCAAAATATAAGGTAACATGCTGAGATGAGATGACGAGGAATCCCAAGTAATTGAGTTGTCAACAGAAACCAATGCTATCGTAATCCTTCTCATGATTACTATCCTGGTATTTCATGATTTGAACAATGTCCGCGGCAGCATAGTCTCACATTGATCCAGCACTGCCGGAAAGCGCAATGACTCTTGAGTCTTACGAGGAAATCTCCTGTATTTCCTCCATAAAGCCATCATTATGGTGCAATCAGCCTCGAGATGTGATTTGCAAGATACAGAACTCTCTGACTGGCAGTATTCGGTCTCAAATCTCTTATTCCTGCCGAGCTGGTTGGATATTGAGATCCTGTCGCCACATTCACGACATCTACCTTGCAGGAGTACGAATATTGCAAACGGCCTTCATGTCAGACTTCCTGCAATGCCCAGAAGTTTCACCAAATATTGTATCGCTTATTATGCGGTGATCCAGGAGTCCGACTCACAAACATCCTATGTGTTCGTCTCAGAATAAGCCATGATTTGCCAAAAGCTTGAGTAAGTAAACGTTCTCCGCGGTATGCATTTTGCTGCTTCTTTAGGTAGCCTGCATTAGGTATCTCCACGGCCGAAAAAGAATACATTGTTAAATTATGTACGCGCAGGAAGAAGACAGTATCCCAAAAGTCTTAGTCCCATGCATGTGATGGTCGAGTCAACCAAACACAAAAGGCCCGGATGATTTTCTTGGTGTAATTCGCTGAATGATGCCATATCATAGTAAGCGTGTACCGGAGTTAGTGTTATATGTCTGTTTCAATCAAATACACTATGTAACCGGGCTTTTCTTGATAGGTTCGCTTCATCCTGTAAGGCTATAAACCTTCAAGGTTCATATTGCCCAATTTGGCAATGTAATGACGAAGAAAAGTGGATACGCTAAATTCCGCACCGTAGTTACGGAAAGCATTTCTGTCATGCGTCTTCAGGATTTCAGGAGAATTAAATTATGGAGACAGTTCAAGCGAATGAGCCAGCCGTTTTAGGTAGCATCGGAGAGGGAACGATTTGATACTACATCGCCAAGCATGGTACATCGTAACACTCGATACAGAAGATGTCAGGATATTGCACTATTCTCCGTAGGAATAGAATGATACTGTGATGGAATTTCAATCATGACTCCTGCTAGCCAAATTGGGTAGAAATTGACATCCCAATGGCAACTCAGTAATGGCGGAATAGGAGTATAGCCTTATGATACCAGCAATGTGAGATTATCGAGACATCCATAAATATCCCCTTATCCTCCTTCGAAGTAACACCATCCATTCATCCAACAAGCTTCCAACAATCATCATTATCTATAAAGCATCAAGACTTAAGTCATTCACATCTTCTGAACATAAAGCATTCTCTTAAATCATAATTCTCGGGTTTCTCATCCCATTCATCCTACCAATCTCTTCAAGATGTCGAACTTAGATTTGATCATAGCAAATACTCATTTGTCCATTCTCTATTTATTTCCTGTTGCCATATTTGGCCTCTTTCTCAATCTTTATCGCAAAGCTATCCTTGGAAGATCAAATCAACAAAAGTCGCAAGCCGGTGATGCATATGCGGCTGTGGAAAAGATCACTACCTACGAGCCTCATGCTGCCCAAAACTCACTTCAAGATCTAATCGAGATCGATGGAGCCGGAACATGGCCTCCTACAACTGTATATGGTGATGCCTGGCCAGAAGCACTTCGACCATTCCACGACATCTATCAAGCTATGGCACCTGCTCTATCAATCGCAGAACTTAGTGGCGATGATGTCAAGAACTTTCAACGATGCTTGGACTTCCGTGTACAGATGAGAACACTTTACAATGATCAAGTCAACATGGAAGAAGTTAAGGCCCTCTTAGATGCAGCAGAAAATGATGAGGGCATTTTATCACGGGCAGCTTGGAATGGTTTCTTCGCTTGTATTGCCTTGTCCAGACACTCTTTCCGGTAAGTACCCTTGTTCTATGTCGCACAAAAAATGAAGTTCTCGCTAACACTGCAAAGATGGGGAACAATCCCCATAGTCAAACTTGCTCAAGAAGAAAAGGTCGTCGATTTCCCTGCCTGTCTCGACCTCGCATGGCCATACCTCAAGAGACGATACGGTGTTACATCTCAAGGTGGTAATGTCGCAAGTAACTACCTCTGCAACTTTGATGATAAAGATCAAATTGTCTACCCGATTAATCCCACAATGGACGATCTCATTCAATCTGCCGAATACCACTTTGGCCATGTCTTCCCTCACATTGAAAGAGAAGCTCTCCCAATCTACCACATGGTAACCAAGGCTATTCAACAATATTCTAATGGCGACCGTGTTGGCACCCTACAATCGCTCAAAGGAATCAACAAGGAATTACGCACACCCCTCAAGACCTATTATGAAACCATGCATGAATCCAAGATTTCGCGAAAGGTTTGGATGCACTATGCACAGGGATTTCAAGGCTGGGCTGCAGGTGATATTGACCCTGTCACCGGAGAATACACTGAATACGACGGTCTTTCAGGCAACCAACTGTTATTACCGCAGATCATGGATGCTTTCCTAGGACTTGAGAGGTACTTGAACGAGGAGAATACACAACGCTACATGCCAAACTTACAACGCAAATTTCGTGAAACAATCGCTGAGCATAGCTTTCGCAATGAGGCTAAGACAAAAGGAGATGACGAGATCGAGGAACAAATGAACAATATTGTCAAGCAAATGAGAGTTTTCAGAACAGCACACAGAGTTAGGGTCAAGCCATACTTGAGTGTACCCGCTCCAGAGCGTATGATCATGACAGCTGGAAAGTCTGTGCTGGAGAAGGATGATATTCATGATTACGAGTCTGCTATTGCGCCTCTGGATAAGATGTTGAAGGATAGATTATTGGCCACAAAATAGATTAGACCGTGGTATACTTGTCTCGTTCAACGCCAAGACAGAACAGGGTTACTCAAGCTCCAAGGATACCTGTTCACCTCACTACTTTCTTTCTTTTGTTTATCAAGGTTGGCAGGCTAGGATGGCGCTGCTTTGGGGTTTTTCTCCTTCTGGATATATGTTAGGGTTAGGGAAATAGACAAAAACATTAATGCTATGATGATTTAAACCTCAAAAGTTGATAGCGGATATGATTGATTGGTGACTCCACTTGGCAATCCTCTGGTCATGGTATTCTCGAGCAGCTGGTGGCATTGCGCCAAATGAATGGGTGAGATAGATCTAGCAGTACTATGATTGGTGACTTTCCTGTCGTGATGCTCTTTTTGAGCATGCTCGAGGTGACATTGTTCCAAACAAGCATGCATAACGTTACCATGTGAAAAAGATATCTAGAAGTAGGTAGGTATCTTAGATGAGGTTGATATTGAGATACCCGTGAACCCCACTTTCATGTGGCACGACTTTGCCGCTCAGCCACTAAAATCAGCACACTCCGGCTACAGATGCAACCTTCACCAGGGGTAGGTTGTCATGTCTTATGTAATCCGTTGCCATCCATTTTTAACCCAAAATGTAACTCCGCAAATGAATAAATCCCAAATCCTAATTTTTGGGAAACATTCCAGTCTTCTTGGGTATACGCCTTTTGATAGGATTCCTTACATGTCAAGCTTAAATTGTATGAAAGTAATGTTATGAATGCCCGAGATGCCTACCTCGTCTATGTAGTACGGCATAATTTTACTCATCGTTGTTAGAGGTTGCACGTGCCAACACAAGACACTCTTGCCATCCGTTTGTTACTTCTTGGCAATGATCCGACGGCAGGACGATCGATGCGGAGCTGAACATCATCGGTAATCTGTCTGAATAGACTTGGCGGGATATATGACCTTGGTATCTTACTTTCCAAACTTCGGAATACCTTCAAAACATCCTCAAATCTCAAATTAGAAGATCGCAGACTACAGTAATCATTGAGTTGTCTTCCCTCTTGGTCTCTCTTGCGCTGACAATCAGATTTCACCGACCCACATTGGTGTTCCAAGATTCTATGCTGATTAGTATGCATCTTGGTCTCCGGAGATATTCTTATGGATGCTGATGGTGCATGACTAACTTCGTAATATTCGGCCATCTGTGGTATGATCGGGTGAGCTTACTCCAATCTTTGTCTGCTAATAAGCTGATAAAGAATTACCCTGTCATCAATGCTTTAGCCCATTGTTTTATAACGGTATTTTGATGCGGCATTCTAAGACGAGATATTAGTAAGGTATTACTTTTAAAGCCGTTGTAAGAAACATATCTATACGATCGTTCTTTGAACACTTTCGTTTTCAGGGGCTCGATTCAAACTTCGCCGCCCTCGAGAAGTTTGCAGAATTCCCAGCCGGTTGCAACTTGCAAGCTTTTGCATAAATACTCCCACTCAATTCCCCATATATGGCCTCCAAATTTGGATGCATTTAGCTCATTGTTTCTAAGTTTGAGTTCGCATACAACATCTTGTGTCAGGTCTCTTCTCGTTGGCATAATATTTTCTATCCCCTTTCTTTTCATTGCATCTCTACAAATTCGTTGGATTTCTCTGGTTATCCTTTTGCACTTTTGCAATTCTGGTCATTATATCAGCCAATCATTCATATCTTTTACTTTCTCTGTTGCAATTTCTACAAATAAAAGTATTAGTCTCGACTTTAAAATAAAATGTCACTTGTTTGATCTGTATCAAAACAAGATAGCCTCCCTCATGATCGAGTACCAGCCTTCGCACTTTGAACATGTACACCATTTGGTTTTCTCGAGCGCAAGCAACAACTGCTACAAGTTCGCTCACAACTAAATCCATTCCTGCTGTAATGTTACATACATAATATGAGGCGTTTCAATTAGAAGTCACTACTCTTCAAACGAGAAATGGTGCCAAATTGTGGGAGAGCGAGAGTCTTGTTGTTAAGATATGTTGAGCTTATCGAAGGTAGCGATTTGGAGGAGATGATGATGCTCTTGTTGCTGTTGATGGAGATTGATGTAGGGTTTGATCTCCTCCTTTTATATATTTGTGCTTGGTATTGATAAGGGATGAATGTTGATGCATTCCATTGACTTGAATTTTTCTTATTTTATATACTGGCTAACCAATAAGACTGAGTTGTTCAAGGGTATTTTCAGATTTGGGTTTTCTCTGTCGTCCACAACAGATCCGCATGGATAAGAGACACTCTACTTATTCAAAATATATTGTTACGTTGAGACGCAACTGCAACCCCCATCAATCAGGTTACACACCTGAACTTTGCGCTGTATGGGAAATGGCATAGCATGAAAGAGAGTAGTAGACACCAACTTCCCTACAAAGGCCAATATGAGATATTCTTTCCGCATATACAAAAGATATTTGAGGCAAAACCTTGTATTGATGATTAAGTTCACGCGAAGAGAGGTTGCGCCGGGATGTTGCACTGCTCAAGGTTTGAGGTGTGATATGAAACATTCTTGAATGTCAACATTGATCGATTTTCCTATTTGAACTCAAGAGCGACATCTATGAATTTCCAATCAAATGTACTACGTGAGGATGTATCATCTTCGGGTACCTGGCCAAGTAAATGGTCACTGGTCAAGACCTTGGCTTGAACCACAAAATACTTCCAAACCAGCCGTCGGTAGCTGGTGTGACACTTCTCGAATAAAAAGAAACAGACTAGTGAAACTTCTATCGGAGTAAATACTTAAATTATCCGGATTCTTGTGGATGTGACAGGATTGCCCGAAGCCAATCATGATGAACTGGAATGAGCTCACATCACACAGCATCATCCGGCAATCCTTAATTCTCCAAGACGTTGTACTAAAGGCTTTTCATCCATAGCTGATCTCATGTCTACCGATACAGTGAATATAAAGATCTAGTCGTGACTTTGGTGGCGTACTGCCATTCGAGGCCTATTATTTTCCTGGTGATTGAGATTGGAGGATCAGAAACTGGCAGTTCAACGGTTCTCTGATGCAATGCATGATATTTCATCGACGGCCTAGTTCTGAAAAGATGTCAGGAAAACCCTGAAATAAAAACCGAATTCAATCTTTTCAGTTTTCCTATTCCATTATTCATCTTTTCACTCTTTCATCGACTACCCTTTCCTCCGTTGCCAAAGTTCTGTATTCTTTCGATCATGCATTTTTTATATCAATCCTTATCAAACTCATCAGAAGAATAGACAAATGACTGAGAAGGTACAGTATTTTCAGATGCCACTTTATTAGAGAACTGGAATCAAGATACCCGATGCCGATAACCATAACTTAGTCGACAATCCAGTATCATCCAGCTAAATGGTCTTGTTTTCCTTATACTATATCGCAATCATTCTTCTGATAGTTAAACATTTTCAGCCTCAGCTTTTCAAAGACCCAATGTAACCCATTGTGAGAGATTTGATAATCCTAGCACTAGTCGTGGGGGTTCTCCACTGACTGATATCAATCTAGCTCCTGCTCTTAAACAATAAAATATCAACAACAAACATGCACTGAGACCGATGTACACCATGGCCCATTTTTAGGACACCCTCAACCCGAGATCGACGCAAAATAGCATGAGCTCCTGACTGGTATGCAGCAATAGACCTTTATAATTCTGATCGCTTGATATTGTAAGTGTGTAGACAAGCTAAGTTATCTAAAGCTTGGGACAGCAATTGGAACCTGGGATAATGCAAGGAGTTGGCCGTGAAGAGATGGGGTTGAAATTTCCAGGTAGCGATAGATATATATGAACTCTTAACGTTTTTCACGAACTCCACTGTGTTGTAAGTCCAAGTCATACCACATTCCATGCTTCTCAATAGACTAAGAAAAAGCCAAAAATGTCTGTACTCTAACACCTCAACGGAGGTATTGGGCAGATCTAAGCAAAAACCAACGGGAAGTTAATCGTGGGCACGATGGTAGTACCAACCCCAATACTTTTCGGTGATTCATCGACCAGAAGCCATAGAACATTGTCTCGATTGTCTCCGTCACGCAGCTATGCGTCCTGGAGGTGTTGAAATTGTGAGATGTAAATTGTCTAAAGGTAGTTTGATGCTAGTGGCCAATCAAACCACACATCAGTATCTTATTGACTGGAAGAGATTGGAAAACTTGAGTAAAGATAGGTGTGTTGACATGTCGAAGCCGGGGTGGCTGATGCTGCATGTAGCGAGAGGTAACATTGAGCTTTCACGAAAAGTAAGAATTCATCTTGACATGATTACAGTTCCTGGTTATCCTGATGAATAACTAAGATTCAAGTGAGAAGATCCCTAATTCCCTGATATTATAGCCTTTCATACCCTGTCCTGGAACAATAATCTCAATTTACAGAAGACAAATTGGTGAATAACAAGATAGGCAACAGAACTTGATAGTCATATCAGTTCTGAACATCAAAGATCGTGAAGTAAGTTTGTGAATAATGAGACATGCGAAGACTTTCACAAACTATGTATAAAGACACACAGTCAATGACCAAGAGAGAAGTACAGATTGAAACCGCCTAGCCACGTCACGTCTTAACTTCAATTTTAGCATTGTTACACTCCATCAATGTTAACAAACCTCACGTGAACCTTCTCAATGATCTCCACATTCTGTGACTCCAAAGCCAATCCATCTACCATGGTCCTCTGATCCGCGCCTATGCCTCTTCTCGGCAGCATCGCCGCATATCCCTTTTTTTTCACTGCCTTGAGATTGGTCCCATCCTCTCTTACTTCTGTCGCTGCGACTTCCCTGCCAAGAACCCTCGCATAATCATCCGCTTTACTAATTGAATCTTTGATTGCCTGTTCTCTCCCTAATATCCCAGCGGCCTTTTTTGTCTCCACGGTCAAAGACCAACTAGCCGAGCGAATCTCTGCGTTGGGCATGATGAATATAGAACTCGCCACTTCAGCGAGTTTCTCAAAGTCTTGAAACGTGACTTCGAAATGTGAAGATGCTTCATGAGCACGAGTCTAAGGTTCGTCATTAGAATCATAGTCTGGAGGCTACCAAGAGCGCGTGCGAAGATTAGTCATGGAGCAAATAGTTACTGGAGGCTCTTGACTTGCAGCGTTGGGAGAATTCGAAGAGTGTGATGGTTTTGTGGATAATTGCTTGAAGAGAGCTTGGAGATTATCGGATGCCTGGGTTACTGCCTCGGAAACCGATGTTTGTGAGGTGCCTTCTGAGATTACGGCAATGATTAAATTGCCATGTTCAGCTGGGAGTTGCACTTGTGAGGTACCTTGGATATGAATTTCGAGTGGTGGTGCTGACATTTTGAGGAGTTAGAGAATCTAATAGTGGTTTCTATCAGATACTATCAGATACTGGCAATGGCAGAAAAAGATACTCTATTTCGCGGCTTTTATGTTGGTCAGGGGAGATTATCACGTGAAATTCTCACTCTTCGCATGTGGCAATGAATCACTGATCCCACAACTTTATGCTGAAGGATGCGGGGAAAGTCTAGTCATATTGACATCACTGTAATAGAATGAGTCCTAACATGCAACACATGTCGACCTCATCCTTTTTACTGCAAATCGATGGTCTCGCACTTGTGAGAATCCTATCATTTGGAAGTCAATAATTCAATCTGGTAAAAATCAAAGCTCGTTTTGAATGAATGTCGGATCAGAAGGGAAAGTATGCGGGAGTCTTCGCACTACAAAGCGGTCGTTGTGACCGAGATGAGAACAAAACATCAAAGATCGAAAATTGAAGATTTCGGACGCTTTCTGTGTTATGCATCGTAGTTTTGCTTCGGGTATATACTTATACATGTCAGAGACTGATACATCCTGATCCTACATGACCTTCATGCCCTATAATATTGGCTTTCTCTCCTTGTACTGCTCTTCCGCCATAAAGTTTTCCTCCAAAATCTCAGATTCAGTAGCTTTTTGCGCCTCTTCATCTATAACGACCTCCTCATTCCTTGCCATTGCTGCATCGTATTTCCTGACTTGCTCCATAACCTCTTCCTTCGTGATTCCAAACCCATTCTCATCTAAATGAACCTCTTCCTTCGGCGGCAATCCCATCTTCTCCCTCTGTGCCCTAAATCTCTCCTTGACAGTATCCGTCTGCATAATCCTCCATCTTAATTTCCACCCTCCCATGCCCAATTCCTTTATTCTCTGCGTCTTCTCCCCCAATAAATATTCATCCAATCCTCCCGCTTTATCGATCGTCCTCAGCACTTTTGTGGTGACTCTCAATTTAATTTGCCTTCCTAGACTTGGACTGTAGAGACGCTTCCTCTGCACGTTGGGTCGCCAATGCCGTCTCGTCTTAATTTCATTCTTCTCCGAAACTATATTTCCATAACGAATCTTCTGTAGACCGTAAAGACCGAAATTGGATTGTTTATAGAATTGCGAGGGGCCGTAAGGATATGGCGGAACGTCTGCGTGCTCGACTGCTAGCCTCTGTTTTGTGGACTTTGCGAAGATGCGAGTAGTGGAGGTGAAAGTTCGTGTGAAAGAGCGGGACACGGAGGGGTGGATTGATGGGAGAATAGGCATGGTGAAGGAGGTGACGCGGGGCGCCGAATCTGGTCGTGTATAGCGGTGATTCTCAACTCGTATTGAGGTTAAATAATCCTTGTGGCTAGGGGTTCATTAATGATTGACTTCGCAGCAGACTGCAAAATTGCTTCTGGCCGAATATCAAATCAATGGTTTCGTTTGTCCTTATCACCATAAATTTTAGTTCCGGATAAGATGTGAGCCTGAGGCCAAAGGTTCAAAAATGTAGGGTTTTATTTTTACACGGCCTTCATGGAGTTCGATCGAGGCTACAAGAAACCCGACTCAATTCATTCACATCTTGTTTTATTTTTCAATTTCCTCATTATATTAGATGGTAGTACCTTCTTTGTGACTTTTTGCTTGCAAATTCAACTCAAACACCCGTTGTGTTTTGATTACCGGTACATTATATTTGTATCTCAAGTGGTGATCATTAGATTCATTACCCAGTCTCCGGTGATTACACCTTCAAGAATGACAGCGAGATTTCGTCTTGCTACCTTGATAGCAATGCATTTGAATTCGTCCCAGTTATGAGGCTTCTCGCTGACCATGCTGTTCATTCCCTGCCAAATTCCCGCGTTGTCCTATCCGAGAGCCAAAAGGAACTCCCCCAAGATCAAAAAATATCTTATCTTTGCTTTCTACGAGTAGGCAAGTAGACTTTTCTTCTGCATGCCGACCAATCTGAAGACTTGCGCCATTATCCTTCTGCCAAGAGTCTCTGCACATCGATTGTTTCTCGATAAATATCCAGCGTTGACAGTACCCTTGGAATGTTCCACTTGGGGTTCTCGCTGCGCTTATATTCCTCCAAAATCTCCCGTGTCGGCTGAACCAGAATTTTCTCTCGTCTTTCATCCCGTCTTTCATCCTTTCTCTGCATACAACAAATATGTGAACCTTCTTCATAATCAATCCCTTGACTTAATCTTTCAAAACAGGAGTTTCTGGAATCATATCCGAAGTCATAGATGAAGTTTTCAAGGGATGGTAACACTCTTGCTATAGTATTTCCGACCGAGTTGGGAAGCGTTTGCAGCCCCTCGTGACTGAGACTGTCTTCGTAGAATACGGCGATGGCGATATTGCGGACATCTTTCATAACTCTGCCCTCTGGTTTATCTCTGATCTGGTTCAAAACATTTTTGATCCATTTCAGCCAGCCTACTTCTACCAAAACTATGTCGATTCTTGGGTCGAAGACCACGATTCCCAGCCTCGGGTAGCGGGCCAAATTGTTCTTGTGATATCCGAGATATGTTCTCCGTGAATCACAATTCACGAAGTATAAAGTATGCGGTTTGAATTTTCTGGGACGCCCATATCGTAAATTCTCCACTGGGACAATGTGTCCTTCTTGTACCTCCAATGCAAAATTCCATATATGAAGCTGCAACTCGGTTGGGAGAAGAGCGAACTGTGGGAAGCTGGACATGATGCAATTAATTGTAGGTTAATGTTGGTCGGAGGAATTTGAAGCATGAGAGAACTACCTGATCTTTCAAACTTAGACAGTTCCTTCCGCAGTAATTGCTTATGGCAGTATGTAAACAAATACCGTAATGCATGGTCAATCAAATATTCAACTGAGGGGTAATAGGCTGACGCAGAAGCTGACTGCTGCCGATTGCAGCTAATCCCTGTCAGTTTACTACCCGGTGACCCCATCAAATCAGACCAGCCTCACATGTGTTTTCTTCTTTTGACGTAGTCGTACTTCCTCAAAGATCACAGCATATTCGTTAATCGTTATCAACTCATCTCCATCAAACATTTGCGAGAACAAGACAACAAAGCATGCAGGCATTTTCAAATCTCCCGATTGAATTGCGCAACAAAATTTGGGAGCATGCTCTTCCTGGCGGGAGATATATTGAGATCTATCCAACTTTCGTGAATCGTAAAGAGATCGGATGGATTGCTGTACATTGTAAATGTTCAGCTCGCTGTCATCGTCTGCCCTCTATAGCCCACGTCAGTTCAGAAGCTCGAGCTGTATTTTTCCGCCACTTCACCACTTGTTTCAACACGTACGTTCAATGGAAGAACGATACTATCCTCATTCAAAGTACATCGGTCATTAAACGCAACCTACCCCTTGATGCAGGCTCAAAAGAAATACAAGCATTGGACAGAATAGTTTCAGAAAGTCCGAGAAGCTCTGAATTGTCGTCCTTTGCTGTCACAGCAAACCGCTCATGGGCTCGTAATGGATTACCCCACTTTCTGAGGGCATTCAAAAGTTCTGAGCCGCGAAGATCCCTCAATTTTGGAACTGCTGTCCCCGAATTGCTACTCGTTGTAGGCGCCCAATTGCGTTACAAGGGGCGAAGAACTAGTTTCGATGGATTGAGATTGGATTTTTTTGATGACGACCCTATGGACCCCAATCAGCAACTGGAAAGACTTATAACAGAGAATACCATGAGATCATGGCGGGAAGTATGGGAAAAGGAGGGGGATGGGACGCCACCACCGTTTCGAATGGTGTCTTTCCGAAAAGGTGCCCCAAATTGCTTCAAGAATCTGTGATGATCATCGATCAAAGCAGGCGCATGCATCATGGTCTCCTATGTTCACCATTGCAGTTTCTCTCGCAAAAGCTATAGTTTAAGAATTTGAAATGTCGATGGGGGCCAATAACTCGGTGAACAATACTGTATCTTAAGCGATCATTGCCCCGTCTATGTAAGCGTTCATTGCTTATCCCCTCCCACCATGTATCATTTAAGAGAAAATATAAGGTCAATTGATCCCAGATTATTACTACTGAGATCGAGATAGGACACATGCTCATCGCGATCCCTGATATTATTTGCTTGAGCTACCTAGGTAGGTAAATATACATTATGTTTACTACGGTTGATGAGTGGATGGAAACTGCACTACTTACTTACCCGATACTACAGCAATAACAGCATCCCCCGGTTTTCCCTTCCCATCCATTCTCTAGGTGAAATGAATATTGAATATGTGTTGCCCGGCTCAGATGCCAAGGTATTTAGAGGTGTGATTCTTAGCATCTGTGCCGAGCGATATTACATGAAAATAAAGCACTGGCGTTGGACTAAATGACCACAAGCGCACAGGGAGATTTATTTGTCCAGTGCTGTGGATGAAGTATTCGATATCACGGTTCCAACGGAAAGCTTGTTCTTGTGTGAAGTATCATCACTCGATTAGAGAGAGGGGGGTTTGCTGCTTGGATCAAGTAACTTAGTTACACAAGCTTTGATTGAGAAGAGTTCGAAGAAGCGAAGTGTACCTCACACTAGACCATTAGGAATCCTATCACAATTCATGTGCTGTGCCGTTTTGAGATAGGGCGCATTCGTTTTGACTTTTCAGCTAGAGCTGTGGAATTTTAGAGAGGAACGGAACATTCTACAACGAATTCTAAATTCATTGTCATACATGAGAGCTTAGGAGGTAACCGATCGTAGGAAGCAACCTTGCAGCATGTTTTCGGGCAGATACTGTAGCCCTTAAGCAGTGTTCCTGTATAAATCGACATTCAGTGCGCCATTCTTTGCAACAACCTGACAAACCCATCAATTATCTCAAGTTCAGTGACCCCAGAAAATCTAACTCAATATGAGGTTGATCATTTCAATAGTGGTGAATCGTAACATTTTCTTGAAAATGGATGGTCGAATGATGTTGGGTGTCCGGCAAAGTCTCGGTAAAACTACCCATCGTCATCTGTACTAGATAGTTGAGAGGGTACAACACGAAAACAA